GGATACAATGTAACCAATGCTTCCTGCGTGTGACGTCACTGGAGCGCAGCGGTCTGTGTGCTGCACGTGTGTTGGAGGTCAGTACCGGGACCGGAAAGGGGGAAGGGAGGAGGGGTGATCGGTAGGGTCAGAGCCTCCTTTACCGAAATTGTTTAAGAGCTCACCGATCTCTGTGATTGAAATGAGTTTCTTGTGTCTTCGCTGGTGTGACGTCATCTGATTAGCAGGTGACCCCTGTGCTGGTTTATGTCAGTCCGTGTATTTTACATCATAATGATGTTATGGCACCGGACCCCTCAATAAGTGGTGGCCCCCTCCCCTCCATATAAGTGGTGACCCCCTCCCCCCAATAAGTGATAGCCCCCTCCCCTCCAATAAGTGATGACCCCCTCCCCCCAATAAGTGATTACTCCGCCAATAAGTGATGACCCCTCTCTCCCCCCAATAAGTGATAGCCCCCTCCCCTCCAATAAGTGATGACCCCCCTCCCCCCAATAAGTGATTACTCCGCCAATAAGTGATGACCCCCCTCCCCCCAATAAGTGATTACTCCGCCAATAAGTGACCCCTACCCCCCAATAAGTGATGACCCCTTCCCCCAATAAGTGATGACCCCTCCCTCCAATAAGTGATTACTCCGCCAATAAGTGACCCCTACCCCCCAATAAGTGATGACCCCCCCTCCCCCCAATAAGTGATTACTCCGCCAATAAGTGACCCCTACCCCCCCAATAAGTGATGACCCCTTCCCCCAATAAGTGATGACCCCCCCTCCCCCCAATAAGTGATTACTCCACCAATAAGTGACCCCTACCCCCCAATAAGTGATGACCCCCTCCCCCCAATAAGTGATTACTCCGCCAATAAGTGATGACCCCCTCCCCCCAATAAGTGATTACTCCGCCAATAAGTGACCCCTACCCCCCAATAAGTGATGACCCCCTCCCTCCAATAAGTGATTACTCCGCCAATAAGTGATGACCTCTCCCTCCAATAAGTGATTACTCCGCCAATAAGTGATGACCTCTCCCCCCCAATAAGTGATGACCTCTCCCCCCCCCAATAAGTGATTACTCCACCAATAAGTGATGACTCCTACCCCCCAATAAGTGTTGACCCCCCTCCCCCCCCAATAAGTGTGATTACTCCGCCGATAAGTGATGACCCCTACCCCCCCAATAAGTGATTACTCTGTCAAGTGATGACCCCTACCCCCCAATAAGTGATGACCCCTCCCCCCAATAAGTGATTACTCCGTCGATAAGTGATGACCCCTACCCCCCCAATAAGTGATGACCCCTCCCCCCAATAAGTGATTACTCCGCCAATAAGTGATGACCCCTACCCCCCAATAAGTGATGACCCCTCCCCCCCAATAAGTGATTACTCCCCCCCAATAAGTGATGACCCCCTCCCCCCAATAAGTGATGACCCCCCTCCCCCCAATAAGTGATGACCCCCTCCCTCCAATAAGTGATTACTCCGCCAATTAGTGATGACCCTACCCCCCCAATAAGTGATGACTCCTCCCCCAATAAGTGATGACCCCCTCCCCTCCAATAAGTGATTACTCCGCCAATAAGTGATGACCTCTACCCCCCAATAAGTGATGACCCCTCTCCCCAATAAGTGATGACCCCCTCCCCTCCAATAAGTGATTACTCCGCCAATAAGTGATGACCCCTCCCCCCAATAAGTGATGACCCCCTCCTCTCCAATAAGTGATTACTCCGCCAATTAGTGATGACCCCTACCCCCCCAATAAGTAATTACTACCCTCCAGTAGGTGATGACCCCCCTCCCCCCCAATAAGTGATGACCCCTCCCCCAATAACTAATTACTACCCCCCCAATACGTGATGACTCGCCCAATAAGTGATGACCCCCCTCCTCCCCAATAAGTGATGACACGCCCCCCCCCCCCCCCCCCCCCCCCCCCCCCCCCCCGCCTCTATATCTACATATTTTTCTGCCCTCAATAAAATGTGACAATCATGCTGGTCACAGCAATGACCATTGTTATTGTTAGTCTACCCTCTCCACCCACCTAATGCATATGTATGGCAGCAGAGGGGGTGCACTTCAACCACTTGCCCCCCATCCCCCCCAGGCCAATGTAAAATCAGTTTTTCTGCTAGAAAATGACGTAAACATATATTTCTAAAGCAGAGGCCCTACAGAATAAAATGGTGGGTGTCGTCCTTTTTTGTGTCGTGGATTATTTGTGCTATCTGTTTTTTTTTTAGTTTTTTTTTTTAACACAAATGTTCTGGAAAAAATACCTTTTAGTGCACACAAAAAATATATATATATATAAAACCCAACAATGTAAAAGACGAAATTGCGCCGAGTAAATAGATACCCAACATGTCAAACCTTAAATTTGCATACGCCTGTGAAATGGCGACAATCTTCAGTTCCCTATATTTTCTATAGGCGACCCTTCAAAAGCCCTGACAGGTCATCAGTATAGTGTACGGAGGAGGTCTGGTGCGAGAATTATCGCTCTCAGTCCGGCGTGTGCGGCGATGTGTAACATGTACCTACGCATTCATGTGTAAGCGCTTCTGACATGTATGTTTATACATGCGTATATGTGGGGGTGGCTGGACCTCAACATTTTGTAGGGGGAGGGAGTTTATGTGCTTGGGTGTAACTTTAATTTTTTTGCAATTTAAAAAAAAAAAAAAAAAAAAAAAAAAAGGCTCAAGGCCGGTTCACACTCCATGCATTTCAGTTGCTTTTTTTCTGAATCCAAGACGCACAGAAAGTAGGTTCTATGGTTGTCAGTCATAGTTCACATCAGTGCTTGTAGTTCCATGTGTGTTCCGGTTGCAGACAAAAAAAATAGAAAAGGCTGCATGCATCCCTTGTGATAGAAATAATTAGTGACAGGTCCTCTTTATGGAGAGATATGGGGTCAATAAGACATAATTAGTGACAGGTCCTCTTTATGGAGAGATATGGGGTCAGTGAGACATAATTAGTGACAGGTCCTCTTTATGGAGAGATATGGGGTCAATTAGACATAATTAGTGACAGGTCCTCTTTATGGGGAGATATGGGGTCAGTGAGACATAATTAGTGACAGGTCCTCTTTATGGGGAGATATGGGGTCAGTGAGACATAATTAGTGACCGGTCCTCTTTATGGAGAGATATGGGGTCAATAAGACATAATTAGTGACAGGTCCTCTTTATGGAGAGATATGGGGAGAGATATAGGTCCTCTTTATGGAGAGATATGGGGTCAATAAGACATAATTAGTGACAGGTCCTCTTTATGGAGAGATATGGGGTCAATAAGACATAATTAGTGACAGGTCCTCTTTATGGGGAGAGATATGGGGTCTTTATGGAGAGATTAAGTGAGACATAATTAGTGATAGGTCCTCTTTTTGGGGAGATATGGGGTCAGTGAGAGACAGGGTCAGTGAGAATTAGTGACAGGTCCTCTTTATGGAGAGATATGGGGTCAGTGAGACATAATTAGTGACAGGTCCTCTTTATGGGGAGCTATGGGGTCATTGAGACATAATTAGTGACAGGTCCTCCTTATGGAGAGATATGGAGTCAATAAGACCCCACATCTCTCCTCTGCAATGTAAAGCATTGGATCAAAACAAAAGCATTGATCTAGTGTTGTACAAAAAAAAAAAAAAAAATGGCCGGAACGTGAAGTGACGTCGCTCCATTCCTCCAAGGGCATAGAGATGAGTGGCGGCATCTTTCCTTCACCAATCTCTATGCCCAGCGCCGTGATCGATAGTTTCTCAGGTAAGGCTGAACTACCAAGTGGTGGTGGTAGCTGCCAGTGGCGGTGGTGGGTGGGTAGGAGGCTGAACTACCAAGTGGTGTCCAGTGGCGGTAAAAGGAGGCTGGGAGGCTGAACTAGCGAGTGGTGGCGGTAGCGGGAGGCTGAACTACTGAGTGGTGGCCGGTGGGGGGGTGGGGGTAGCGGCTGAACTACCTGGCTGGGAGGCTGAACTACCGAGTGGTGGTGGTAGCGGCCAATGGTGGGAGGCTGAACTACCGAGTGGCGGCCAGTGGCGGTAGCGGCCAGTGTGGGCGGTGGGAGGCTGAACTACTGAGTGGCATCTGGTGGCGGTAGCGGCCAGTGGCGGTGGTGGGAGGCTGAACTACCGAGTGGTGGCGGTAGCGGCCAGTGGCGGTGGTGGGAGACTGAACTACCGAGTGGTAGCGGCCAGTGGCGGTGGTGGGAGGCTGAACTACCGAGTGGTAGCGGCCAGTGGCGGTGGTGGGAGGCTGAACTACCGAGTGGTAGCGGGCAGCCAGTGGTGGTGGTGGGCAGTGGGAGGCTGAATTACCGAGTGGTGGTGGGTAGCGGCCAGTGGCGGTGTGGGGGGCGGCTGGGAGGCTGAACTACTGAGTGGTGGTGGTAGCAGCAGCCAGTGGTGGGCAGCTGGGAGGCTGAACTACCGAGTGGGGGGGGTAGCAGCAGCCAGTGGCGGTGGTGGGAGGCTGAACTACCAAGTGGTGGCGATAGCGGCCAGTGGCGGTGGTGGGCAGCTGGGAGGGCTGAACTACCAAGTGGTGGCGATAGCGGCCAGTGGCGGTGTTGGGGGGCGGCTGGGAGGCTGAACTACTGAGTGCTGGCCGGTGGCAGTAGCGGCCAGTGGTGGGCAGCTGGGAGGCTGAACTACCGAGTGGCGGGGGGGGTAGCGGCCAGTGGCGGTGGTGGGTGGCTGGGAGGCTGAACTACCGAATGGTGGCTGGTAGTGGCCAGTGGAGAAGGGGTTTCTGCACCTGTATCGATGCTTTTTTTTTTTTTTTTTTTTTTTTTTTTCATTTCAGCCGACTGCCGAAACGTTTCGGCCACCGAAATGTCTGTGCATCCCTAGTTAATACAGTGGTTTCCTATGTGCGTCAGCTCCATCTAGTGGTCCTAATGTGGTAGACCTGATCGGTGGATATTACTAATGCTGTTTGTTGTTTCCAGGTTTGGATCATGGCTCTCCAGCTCTTCCTGAAGGTCTGCGTGTTTACACGGAAACACACCGGGGTAAGCTTCTTGGGGCCTCTACCTTCGGCCTGTTTGCCGCCAATATTTCCTATCACGTCTTTCCAGAGCTGACGTTCCGGAAGCTCTACCAGGCCTGGTCCAAGGGGGAACCCATGGAACTGTCCAGCAGACTTCACACTCTCTTCCGGGATGTCCTGGAGGAAGCAAACCATGGCTCCATCACTGGATACACCCCCTTCGCGTCCTATGGCTTCCACCCGGTCAGCGCCGGCGTTCCTTGGCTCCCGGCCGGATGTCTGATCGGCATTCCCTCCAACTATAACCACACGGCAGAGGACGGAGCAGGAATTGTGGATCGGTTGTTGGTGATTGGCGGCGAGGAGGTGGACTGGAGCAGCAACGTCGGGAGAGGGTTGAGGGACTCTTTGACATTGTCCTCAGACGCCCAGAAGTTCTCTTTGGCTCGTGAGGCCGCCCACGCGCAAAGTAGCGGCCCTGTAATCCAGGCGTCTGTGGCCCCCGCTTGTTTCGCGGCCGTCTGTGTTTCTAGCGTGGGGCTCAAGCAGCTCTTGGGCTTGTATTCCGGCCCCATTTTATTACGGGGGGTCTTCAATTTGCTGGCCATCACGCTCGGATTTACCGGATACTGTTTATGCTACGACTCGATCGGTCAGTGGTTGGATTACAGGGCTGACCACAAAGCAGCCACCAGATCCAGGTCCTACGCCCAGGGGGGGCTGGAGTTCTACCAAAAAATATTGGCCCGGAATCAGATCCTGCGAGGAATGATGGGTAAAAAAGGGCAGGAGCTCTATGGGCCAAGTGGGAATTTGTTCCCCAAAAATAAACTGCGACTAAAGCATGCGCCGTACACACGTCGGAGAGACCAGATACTCCATACATTGGAGACAATGCACTCATGAGTGAGGACGGGACTTTTTTGCAGGGGGGGTGAGGGGAGAAATCTATGCAAAATTCCCCTTTTTTTTTTTTTTTTTTCCCAATTATGGGCAGAACGGCGGGGGGGGGTAGGAGTTAGATCCTCTGTGGGGTGATTATTGTTATCTACATCCCCTTTGGGGAGATTTCCTCTCGCTTTCTGTTGAGGTCTGCCAGGCACTGCCGTGAGCACGATTTCCTCCGCTCAATCCCTGGAGTACATTCTCTATATATGGTGGGGCCATTGACACTGTGACCGACACCTAGGGGTCTCTGTATGAAAATAATTTGCTGGGTGAAGGTGTCAGTTAATCACACAAGGGCAGAAAAACCTTTCCTTAATGCGTTTATTTCCTAGGAACGTCGGCACCATCTAGTGGCAGTAATGTGATATTTTATCTAATTGAAGTATTTCAGGGGAAAAGACTGCATTATTGCCACAAGGGGGTGCTGACACTCCTAGGAAATACGCATATTAACCACTTGCCGTTCCCATGCAGTAGATTTACTATGGCAGGGCAGCACGTGCAGGCTCAATTATGTGTGTGTATGTATGTGTGTGTGTGTGTGTGTGTATGTATGTACAGTTGCAAGAAAAAGTATGTGAACCCCTTGGGATTACGTGGAGTTTTGCATGAATTGGGCATAAAATGTGCTCTGAACGTCATCTAAGTCACAACAATAGAAGAACACAGTCTGCTGAACATAATACTACACAAACATTAGATGTTGCCATGGTTTAATTGCACATAACATGTAAATATTCACAGTGCAGGGAGGAAAAAGTATGCGAGGCCCTAGCTTAATGACTTCTCCCAGAGCTAATTGGAGCCAGGAGTGAGCCAACCTTGACTCCAATCAGTGTGATGATATTGGATGTGTTGCTGACAGCTGTCCTGCAATCCTATAAAAAACACACACCTGTTTTGGGTTTACTGGTTTCAAGAAGCACTGTCTGATGTGAACCATGCCTTGCAGAAAAGAGCTCTCAGAAGACTTACGATCAAGAATTGTTGACTTGCATGAAGCTGGAAAGGGTTACAAAAGTATCTCCAAAAGCCTTGATGTTCATGTGTCCACGGTAAGACAGACTGTCTACAAATGGAGAAAGTTTTAGCACTGTTGCTACTCTCCCTAGGCGTGGTCGTCCTGTAAAAATGGCTGCAAGAGCACAGCGCAGAATGCTGCATGAGGTAAAGAAGAATCCCAGAGTGTCAGCTAAAGACCTACAGAAATCTCTGGCACATGCTAACATTTTTGTTGACACATCTACAATAAGGAAAACATTAAACAAGAATGGAGTACATGGAGGACACCACGGAGGAAGCCATTGCTGTCCAAAAAGAATATTGCAGCACGTTTGAAGTTTGCAAAAGAGCACCTGGATGTTCCACAGCACTACTGGCAAAATATACTGTGGACAGATGAAACCAAGATTGAGTTGTTTGGGAAGAACACACAACACTATGTGTGGAGAAACAAAGGCACAGCACACCAACATCAAAACCTCATCCCCACTGTGAAACATGGCGGAGGGAGCATCATGGTTTGGGGCTGCTTTGCTGCCTCAGGGCCTGGACTGATTGTTGTCATTGATGGGAAAATGAATTCCAGAGTTTATCAAGACATTTTGCAGGAAAACGTACGACCATCTGTCCGCCAACTGAAGCTCCGCAGAGGATGGGTGATGCAACAGGACAATGAACCAAAGCATACAAGTAATTCAACAAAACAATGGCTGCAACAACACAGAATACGCCTTCTGGAGTGGCCCAGTCAGAGTCCTGACCTCAACCCCATTGAAATGCTGTGGCATGACTTTAGGAGAGCAATTCACACCAGACATCCCAAGAATATTGCTACACTAAAACAGTTTTGTGAAGAGGAGTGGTCCAAAATTACTCCAGATCGTTGTGCAGGTCTGATCTGCAACTACAGGAAACATTTGGTTGAGGTTATTGCTGCCAAAGGAGGGTCAACCAGTTATTAAGTCCAAGGTTCACATACCTTTTTCCTCCCTGCACTGTGAATTTTTACATGTTATGTGCAATTAAACCATGGCAACATCTAATGTTTGTGTAGTATTATATTCAGCAGACTGTGTTCTTCTATTATTGTGACTTAGATGACGTTCACCAGCACATTTTATGCCCAATTCATGCAAAACTCCACGTAATCCCAAGGGGTTCACATACTTTTTCTTGCAACTGTATGTGTGTGTGTGTGTGTGTGTGTATGTATGTATATATATATATATATATGTGTATGTGTGTACACACACACAATTGAGCCTGGATCTATTTAGGAGCCACCCAGCCATGCAGCGGGCCCCTCCTGTGTCCACTGATAACCGGGTATCAATCAAGTGATCTCTTTGATAGGTCATAGCAATCCTATGATAACTGGAAACAACCTGTCCTGAATGGCTTTCCATTCATGAATCACTCACTAATTGTGATCTGTGATTGGCCCACAGCTACCTGTACCATGTGATTAGCTTAGCCAACCAAAGCAAGCTGTTCATGAATGGGAAACCCATTCATGACCGTAAAGCTATTGCCTATACAGTGACCTTCACTATATGAGCAATAACACTAGAAAAAAAAAAAAAATCCCTGATCGCCCCTCCAGAGTAGTACAACGTTAGTAAAGTGGCAGGGTGTAAAAAAAGCCTTGATGTTCATGTGTCCACGGTAAGACAGACTGTCTACAAATGGAGAAAGTTTAGCACTGTTGCTACTGTGCAATTAAACCATGGCAACATCTAATGTTTGTGTAGTGTTATGTTCAGCAGACTGTGTTCTTCTATTGTTGTGACTTAGATGATGTTCAGAGCACATTTTATGCCCAATTCATGCAAAACTCCACGTAATCCCAAGGGGTTCACATACTTTTTCTTGCAACTGTATATCTCATTTATAGGTAAAGTTGATCCAGGGAATATCCGGTCGCCTCTCGGGGGGATCAGGAAGGAATTTTTCTTTCCCTTCAGGAGCAAACTGATCGTGCTGTGCTGGGTTTTATTCCTTCCTCTGGATCAACTGTGGGTATAGGATTATAACTTTTTTTTTTTTTTTTTTTTTGTTATCGTTGAGCTGGATGGACTTTTGTCTTTTTTCAACCAGAGTATGTAACTATAATATAATATGCGCAATATATATATATATATATATATATATATATATATATATATATATATATTATATAATGCCCATAATTTTTTTTTTTTTTTTTTATACCTACTGTCACCAGTCAGTGTCCCTGATCATTAGTTCTATGATGACAATGTACGGTAAAACACAGTATGTAAAAAAAAAAAAAAAATTGTTTAATTTCTTCATTTTCCGAAAAATTGTGACAAAAAATTTCAACTCTCCATGCCTCTTACTAAATACCTCAGACTGTAATTTTCAAAATAAGTGAGCGCTTAAAACAACTAGTATAAAATCACAAAAATTAAAATAAAAGAAGAAGAAAACAGCAGCTGAACACCAAAGAGGTACCATATGAACCTTCTCAATAAAAATGCATACAAGGGAGAGGTGCAGCGCTAACTAAATGAATAAATATACTTATATACTTGATAAATATAAATATAAATCAGTAAAAAGTGCTATTAAAGTGCAAAACGGTGACTAAATGATGGATATAGTCCATATCGTGCTCAGAATCCAAGAGAGTCCTTTAAGAGCTCCAATCCCTGGATTCGTGGATGAGGTGATAAAAGTAAAAATTGCGCACTATCACCAAATGCGCAATTCAAATGCGCATTCAAAGCTGATATTCCAAGGTCCTCATATGGATCTGGTCAGATCTGGTCATGGAAAGCCCTCTGTCACCTGGTAGTGTATTCCACACATAGAAGAAAAGGCCGCTCTGCAGATGTAAAGGACTCTGAGAACACTCAACAGCACGCCCACGTGCTAACGCACCTCCTCAGGTAGTAATCTACCTGAGGAGGTGCGTTAGCACGTGGGCGTGCTGTTGAGTGTTCTCAGAGTCCTTTACATCTGCAGAGCGGCCTTTTCTTCTATGTGTGGAATACACTACCAGGTGACAGAGGGCTTTCCATGACCAGATCTGACCAGATCCATATGAGGACCTTGGAATATCAGCTTTGAATGCGCATTTGAATTGCGCATTTGGTGAGTGCGCAATTTTTACTTTTATCACCTCATCCACGAATCCAGGGATTGGAGCTCTTAAAGGACTCTCTTGGATTCTGAGCACGATATGGACTATATCCATCATTTAGTCACCGTTTTGCACTTTAATAGCACTTTTTACTGATTTATATTTATATTTATCAAGTATATAAGTATATTTATTCATTTAGTTAGCACTGCACCTCTCCCTTGTATGCAAATACCTCAGACTGCCTACTTTGCAAAAAGGGGTAATTTGGGGAGTATTTGTACCGTCCTGACATTTTAGGGCCTCAAGAAAAGTGCTCGGCCGTCAGTACATCAGGATGGATCGCTTATCAGATATATCTCCCATAGTTTGTAGACGCTACAACTTTCACAAAACAAAATCAATATACACTTATTGGGATTTTTTTTGTACCAAAGACACGTAGCAGAATACATTTTGTCCTAAATTTATCAAGAATTTTTTTTTTTTTTTTGTTGTGTTTTTTTTCTTTTTTTTCAGTGGATGTTTTATGACAGAAAGTAGAACTTCTTTTTTTTTTTTTTTTTTTTTTTTTTTTTGGTCAGAATTTTTGGTTATTTTTCATTTACATGATCAAAATTAAAAACCTCAGTGGTGATCAAATTCCACCAAAAAAGCTTTATTTGTGTGAAAAAAAAAGATATAAATGTAAATTTTTGCAGTGTTGCATGACCGAGCAATTACCAGTTAAAGTTGCGCAGTGCTGATTAGCAAAAAAAAATGTCCTGGTCATGAAGGAGGTAAAACCTTCTGGAGCTTGGGTGGGGAAGCAAATTACTGTGCAGATTCAATGCGTCCAAATGGATGATTG